TGAAGCAACCCTGTCAGAGGTCAGTCATTTGGAGCAGCCAGCCCTGCATCCCAAAAATTCTACCTATTTCTTCAGTTCCAGCAAACTTAAAGGAGGGAGATATAACTGTGTGCAACCAGAGATGAACAATCTCATACCCCAAGGTGCAAGAGGTTCAGAAAACAGTCATTTTGAAGAGGACAACACACAATGAAATCCTAAAATAGATTTAATAATGTTGAAAAATGAAATACTCTCCCCCTGAAAATTAGGAAATTGTTGCCCTGCATACCAAGGCTCTTATCCATCCAAAAATATGAAGAGTGGACATTTTTGTCCACTAAAAAGTTGTCCAGCCCTCCAGGAGACCAAGTCACCCTTTCCTCTTCTAAGCCATGAAGTTCAGACCCACAAAAACACTACACTAAATCCAAAGTCACTTTAAGATATATGACCACTTAGATTTAGCATCTCTCCCTGACTAAAGACTACAGTGTGTAGCCTTTGCCTTAGTCCATCAAGTTTTTATACCAGGACCTTTGGAAAGCCATAAGCAGATACTCTAGAATCTGGTGCTGAGAGGCAAGCTAACTCTGAACAAGGAGGCCACACAGAGCAATCAGTAATATTCTCCTTCATGATTTTGTCTCACTCCTTCATGAAAGCCACTTCTGGTTGTCAACACTTCTGGTTGCAAATTCCATAATGTTAAGCACTTCGGGAAGTTCTTCCTTTTATTGGTCTTGAATACCATTTAACTTCAGCAATGAGGCATAACAAATATCTGCCAGTAAGTATCTTTACCCTTACCCCTAAAACGAAAAGCTCCGCATGTTGTATTCTAATAGGAAGCTATAGCAGTTCTTGGGCACTTTGCTTGACCTTCTCTGTTCTATTTCCAGCATACAGTAACTTTTGAAGTTCAATGGCACTATATCCATTATTGTAAGTGTGGCCACACTACCAATTTCTTTAAAGCCATGACAATAGTTGACTATACTTTATTTTCTCTCCCTTTTCTAACCATTCCCCATAACAAATTTGCCATATTCACACACACAAACACACCATGCAGGGGACTATCAGTTTTCATCAACCTACCAACCAAATTTTCAACTGCCTTTATCTGGCTATTGTTAGCCTTTGGTCTTGTCATTATAGGCGAAAACAACACTTCTGGTTCTATGGATGCCACTTTACACTGGTGTACCTTAATCTGCATTTGCCCCAGGTGGCCACTCCAAGTCTGGAGATTTTTGGTGTCCATTTTTATTTTAGCCACCAAGGAAACTAGTGTGCTCGTGATATCAAGTTATCACGTTGCTCACCCCCTCAAGATCACTTAAGCACAGATTTTAAAAATACAACACTAATTCCAATACAAATACTTGAGGGAATCTCATTTCATCTCCATTAATACCTGCTGACTGTATTCTTGTTCTGGGCTTTCTGTTCTTTAACCAATAACTAATCCAGGCCTTTTATCCTAGGAGTCCTTAGTGAGGGATCTTTTAAAAGTCCAAAGAAAAAATGGCCAGATCCACAGTGTGCTAAACCTGTCTTGTTGTAACTATTAACCAAGTAAGACACGGTGGCACATGTTAAACAATAAACCTTACTTTAGAAAGAAATCATAATGGCTGGATTGTATACATATGTCAAAACTAAACAAAAATCATGTATGTCTGATCCCAGCCAATTATTACCAATGTGAAATTCACTAAATACTCAACCAGTGCACAGGGGAAGAGATTCTGTTAAAGAAGGATGCCCATTAAATCAAAATGGGATTTTACACGTACACAGATTTTGTCTGCTGCATCTGAAGCCTGCTAAAGTGAGGTTTGTTAAACTGAGGGTAGAAACTGTCAAAAATTCTCACAATGAAAAGCAAAGCAGAACAGAGCTTTGTGTTAAAGAAGGAAGTTTAGAAATGCATTCCTTTAAGGTCAAAGAACAGCACATTATCTATAATGCTGAGGCTTGCAGCTAAAATTGAGTTTTCCACCAGATTTCCTTGAATGACACAGAGGAATCCAGCTGGTGAAAGCCGCAATGAGTGGGCCTAGCAGTTGCAACTCCACATGATACCTTGTCCTACTTATGGAGACTTAAGGCACAAGGACTGCATAAACTGAACAAGCTTTGCCATCCATGTAACTGATTTCCCTACAACACCATGTAAGCATAAACCCACAGAAGTGCTAAACTGGTGTACAACCCCACTTAAGAAGAACAAAAGGGTAATCAAAACCTGGACCTTCCTGTGCAAATAGGGATGGATGGCACCATTTTGTGAGAAATGTTCACTCGTCTTCTTTCCTTGGCAAAGATCATGCTATGGAAACTTGCCCGCTCTGCTGTTATGCAATTGCTGCAATAGAAGCATTCAAGGAAGTCAGAGTAACTTGGGTCATGTTATACACTAAGCTCTGCAGTCTACTATGCTAATCACAGGAATCACTCATGTCCCAAAAGACAGATTAGCTTGCTTGAATTGTGAATATGTAAAATGCTATGAAAGTTAAAGCAGAAAAAAAACCAATCAAACGATTGAAAGACATAACCCCTCTGACCCAAGTAAGTAAGTAAAAGATCTCAAAGGATTTCAGCTATTGTTTCCCTGAAACCTTACAACATAATAGAAATGGTTTAATTCTGGGAGACTTTATATTCTAAGAACCTTAAGGGCAGGCGGTGCAATGCTGATTCTGGTTATACCTTATATTCTACAATGCACCTTTCCATTCTTCAGAGGTGGATTTTTATATGGCCACTTATGCTATAAAACTTAAGCCCCGACAGAAAATTATTAGGAGACCTGGGGAAGGAAAGAATCTTTGTGGCCACAGAGAATCATGGCTAACTGTTACGGAAAGCACAAAGGGGTGAGGGAGAGAAAGAAGTATTCTGGGAACAGGCATCATTGGTGGCCCCCTAAACAGGACAATTCACGTTGCCTTGTGTTGTAGCAGATCTTGCAAGAACCAAGCTTTTCACTTCGGATTTCTCACTTTAAAAAACAGTCAAAACTCTAACTCATAAAAATGTACAACTTTCATGCAGTTCCTCTCAGAAACCAATTAAAAAATAAGGTGCCAGAAGAGGGGAAAGCCGTGGCAGCTATATAGTTCAGTATCAAGAGCCAGTCTGGGCTAGTGGCGAAGGCATCAGGCTAGAAAACAGGAGACGGTGAGTTCTAATCCCGCCTTACGCATGAAAGCCGGCTGGGTGACTTTTGGACACTCACTCTCTCAGTTCAACTCATCTCACAGGGTTGTTGTTGTGGGAAAAATAGGAGGAAGGAGTATTAGATATGTTCACCATCTTGAGTTATTTAAAGGCAGAATAAAAAAAATTTTTTTTTTTTTAAAAACCTGGTGGCATACATAGAGATTAAGAACTGGACTTTTAAGTAAGACTTCAAAAGCCTCCACACCTCAGTGGCTGAACATTTTTCTTTTTTCTATGTTCAAGTTGAAAAAAGCATTGTTCTTGAATTATGAAGATACTGGTGAATTTCACTACATTCTCATAAAGAATGTAGTGAAATTCACCACATTCTCAGGCCAAAATTCACACCTGCTTCATAAAGGTCAGTTACTTCAAAAAGCTTCTTATACTGAACTTATAGAAAGACAAACTTCTGACATCTACCTAATTAAAGGCTTCAATGATGCAAAAGGATATCCTGAAAAATTTCAAACGGACTCCAGTTTGTGCCCGTTTGCCAGGAAGTAAACATTAAGAAGGTGACAATCATATCCAGAAATCAAAGCTAAGAGGTCATGGCTGGACAGCAGTCTTCACTGGCAGCACCAGAATCAAAGTGAACTGGCTGCTACAACAGACATTAGAGCGACAGACATATAGATCTCTGCCATCAAGGTGCAGTGACCCTCTATTCGTCCACTGAAAATCCTGACGCACAGCAGCATCCAAGTCAAAGGTGTAAATTATTGTTATCTCAGCTCCCTCCCCATGACCAGGCAGGCAAACTTGTAAAACTTGCTTGTTCTGGGTCACCCCAACCAGACACCTACCTTGCAAAAACACTGCCTATTCTGCCTAGCAGCAAGTCTCAAGAATCTGAGCCAAGCTGCAGCACTTCTTGGACTATGGATGGCGAAGCTGAAGTACAAATCACGCCTCTCTTCTCACAAGCTTCCCTGGCAAGGAGAGAGCAGAAACCTGAAGAACAAGGATATCTTCGGCCATTTTGATTACTCTCATAACAAAGCAATATTCAAGCTATTGGGGGCCATAAGCCATCTTAGTACTGGGTCAGAATAAGTTTGCCCTTAAGAGTCACCGAGCTAACAAGAGGAAAAGCAATCAAGGTTTTCTACATTAGTTTTCTAATCCCAATATGAGCTACAGGTTTACCCACTGGTTTAAACCAATTAAAAAGGTATCCAATTGCGATTCAAACTACTCCGGTTGCAACATCACCAATCATTAGCCTACTGAGCAACATATCAAGTTGCAAATGAAATCTCTAGTACAGGTTTGCATGAAGCATGACATGAGCATACATTAAAGCTTCTATTTCACTTCCAGAGGTCTGAGACAGAAAATGCTATCTGACATGCTTCCTCAGCAGTCTTCATTTTCACCATGGCTGAGAATTCTAAAATTTACAGTCCCAAAATATTAAGAGTGCAAGAAAAGCTGAACGATACAAAGAGTAAATCATTTTTTCCAAAAATTCTATATTCTGTATTATCCATCAATCCCTTGTTAAACACGGTTCTTAAATTCAGTATACTGTCTATGCTGATTTATACAAGACTGCATAATAATATTCTACATAGCCCTTAAAATTAAACAAAAATAAAACCATCCACAAATGAAGCTTCTACTCTTTCCATTGCATCAGACTATATTCTCAATCTGGATATCTCTACCCAACTGGAGTGTTTTGAAAGGGAGATATCCAGTTGAATATTTTGGAATAAGTATTTTCATAGGAAGGGTCTGGTTTCTTTAAAAGGATGAAGCTGGGTGTCCCCAAAGCCTGCACAAAAAACAATTTTTCTACTACCAAAGGGGCTTTTTGAAGCAAACAACTGAGAGTCAGCCAGGAGCAGATTATGCAGTCACGTAAGCCATGAAGACCCATAGGTCACACTAAACAAGCACTACTGAATGCCTGCTTGCATGCTTCATACAGCAGGCTCAGCCTCTGAAAGCAAGTTAAAGACATTTTATCAAACTAGAGTTATTTTTTCCCCCAACAAAAAAACCTCCTCTTCTGTGAAAACCCAATGGAAAGAGGAAGGCTGAAACTCAACTTAAAAGAACCACAGAAACAAAGCTGTTCCACTAAACTTTAAGCTATGTTTTCAAGGTACCTGTCAGCCCTACAAGGTAGACCAGATCAAAAACCTGACTCCCCCAGGAAAACTATTTTAATGAGTTAGGCTACAGTAACAGAATCTTGCGAGTCTGTTTGTATTTTACCTTCCCTCCCTCCCACTGAGTCAAGGAGAAGCCAGACTGAGCCTCTTCCTCATATGATCTCCTTTTCCAGGGCTGAAGAAATGCTTCTGCCCTCGTTTCTGTAGCAGCTTCTGAATATTCCCTTTAAGGCTGTCTCCTTTGCTCTCTACACCACCTGCTTTCTCCTCCAAAACACTAATAAACCACTTCTCATTTTTACTTAACTACGTTCTATTTGCCCTAACTGATTATGCTAGTAAGAAGCACGCAGTTTTTCAAAGAGTATTTGAGGTCGCAGAGGAAGGAACACCCTTTTAGGAACACCCCTGAGTCATCACTGCAAGAAGTACACGTGCGCAATGAGTTCCAAGGACTGGAGAGTAGAATCCATGAGCACCACCCAAGTCAGTCACCAACATACTGAGAACCAGTTTGATGCTTTACTGTTGATGTCAGTGGCCACGAAAGCCAGGAGCTATTAAATGGTGTTAAGACTGTAGAGGCAAGTGCTTCTTCTTTTAAACACACATTTTTACAAAAAGATTGGGGGGGGGGAGGCAGAACCATTACCATGGAGAGCTATGGCTTCCCGGAAGGGCTGCAAGTCCGTCTCGACAGAAGAACTACTTTCCGTTGATGTAGCTCGGTTAGGGGATACTACAGTCAGTCTTGGGGGAGGTCTAGAGTTTCGTGGAGGAGGGGCCTTCCCACACAGGAAGCTGATTAAGTCTTCTCTGCGAATAGTTCTTCTGCGCTTTTTAACCCAAGCCAAGACATCCTTATTACGACGTTGATAGCCAATATGGATTCCTACATCAAAACTCCGCTGATGGGCATCCACGCTTTCTGGAATAAAAGAAACAAGTGTTAGGAGTTGCCAACCACATGCAGCAGGTTCAGATACAATTGGCTTTCTAGAAGCAAAGCCAAATTGGACTGGCGCTGCTTAAATGCTTTTGAGCCTCCCCCTGTGGATTGTGCGCATTAATGGAAGATAAATCCAATATTAAAAACTGATTTATGAATTGCAATTATTTCTACCCCATCTTTCCCACTGGGGAAAAATACACAAAGCCTACCCAACTAACTGATTAGTAGCTTCAACAATCATAAATAAAAACACAATATATTATATTTGCCAACCCTATCTGAACTTTGGAACTGAATTTGGAACCATCTACTTGCAGGAGCTAGTGCTGTCTAAAGCTGGTATTACTATTCTCACTAGTATGTGCATTTGAACTTAGGGCTCGCTTTTTTAAAAACTACTCCCTTTCTGGATGAAATGGCTTTATCCCTAGGTGTCACTTTAAAACTAAAAAGCAAGGCTACCCTGTTCGTTCCCACCTGTTACAACAGCTCTCCAACAAAAATTGGGAGGACATATGAAAACAGCAACTGCTCAAGCAGTCAAGCAAAAGGAGCACATCTTTTTTCTAGATAAACAGGCTACTTAGAGCCAACCATTTATTTAAGCAAGGGGTTACCTTTTCTAAAGGAACATACTCTAATCTTCTGTTAAAGCCATCTGTTTTTATCCCACGTTTGCAGAACATAAAGTCTTCGTGAAAAAAGTGACAGGTCACCTGGCCTTGACTGGGAGACACTGAGTTCATTGTCTCCACTTAGGTCAAACTCTAGCATCCAGCAACTCACAGGTCCAGTTTGAGAACAAAAGCGGTCATTTATGAACAATCTATTCTTCACCAAGATGTCGTATCAGTTCAGCTCCAACACAGTATTTTTAGATATACCTGTTCATATTTTTTTGTTGTGAGACAGAGGTTTGCATAAAAATGCATGAAGGAATCTGCAAAGTCAAGGTTTCCGAATCACAGAACTCCCGAGTCTCACAGAACTTTTGTCACTGCAACTGACTTGAAATCAGTAGCCACCTGAGTTCCTCCAACACAATAAAGTAGAAATGTTTTGTTGGTCAACTGCATACTACCTCCAAAGTGAATTTTAGCACTGCTTCTGTATTTCAGTCCAAGAGAAAACAAGACAAACTTGAACTATGTGAAAGTTAAAAAATCTGTGCCTTTAAAGGGATCTTCTTGGATTCTCGACTCCTGTGATAGGAGCAGGTGGTAGCTACAGCCAGCAAGGTCTTTACACAAATCTATTTTGTGCACCAACTATACCCTTTCCTGGATCCGGAAGCTGTACTCGCAGTCACTCATGCCCTAATCACCCCCATCTGCATCTGTACATGGGCTGCCCTTGCAAAACCATCCAGAAGCTACTATTAGTCAAGTATGCAGTGGTGTGAGTAGCTATGGATACACTGAGCTGAGCCCATATAATACCACTTTGCAAATTGCACTAGCTTCCAATAAACTTCTGGGCACAATTCAAGGTACTGGTTGTCACCTATAAAGTCTTAATGGCACAGAGCCAGGTTACCTGCAGGATCACTGTCTCTAATGGTCTCTGCTTATCCCATGAGATCTGGGAGAGTGGGCATGCTTTGGGTACCTTACATGAAGGAACATCACCTGGTGGGACCAAGGGCAATGCCTTTCTATTGCAGCATGAGCCCTATGGAACATCATGCCCTCTGTGGTTTGGACAGCTCCAACCGTTCTGTCCACCTGCAAGTCCCTAAAGACCCAGCTCTTCCTGCAAGTGTTGGGCCAGACTGTGAGAAGAGCCCATGTGGAAGACTCCTGAATGAGATGGGCATTGGCTGACCTCAGTTACATCCGTTATTATTATTCCCTTGTCCTGTTTCTACATTCCAACGATTTATTATATTATTTAACTGCACGTTTTCATGTCTCTTCAAACTGTTGTCGCCTAGAGCCACTCCTGTGAATTGAGTAACCATATAAACCAAATAAATAAATGTCTCTAATTGTTCCTTTAAAAAAAAAATCTTAAACAGGAACTGTCATATTAGGTTTTTCGCAGAACTGCCCTACATAGCAAGATAATATTCAGCATACTACACCAAAGCCAAATCACTGACAGAATTAAAGAGCACACCCCACATTCTTAAACCTGTCATGAGACTTTAAAAATATGTGCTTTTCTTACTCAGGGCCTGCCTGAATGCAAATATAATTCCACTTATCTGCTAGAGAAAACAGCCTGGGCAGTTCAGGATGCCTAATTATCCCTGTAGATCTGACTGTTTACCTACAGATGCAATGTTCTGTACTTAACTGTATTCATTCTGTGCTGACCAGCAGCTTATAACATAAAAGCCAGAAATCAATAATCTTTTGACTGTTAGAGTCTGGGGATGGAATACAAACTACTCCCCTGTAACTGGGATAAAAGAAAACTCCAAACTACTGTTCTTATGACACTGAAAGTGTTATCAATCTGGTAGCCCTAATAGGTTCCATTGCCCTCAACCAATAATAACAACTGTTAGGGATCACAGACCAAATCATATAGAGATATCCAAACAGGATCGGTCGTTTTTGCTTTTCAGTCACTTTCAAGAAGCTACCGCTAGAGTTATGCAAGACAAAATGCCTCTGCAATATTTGGGGTCCCCATGTCATCAGCATTCACTGCAGGAAGCGCCCAATAGCTATAGGGTGTATTTGTGACTAGTAATAATTTTAGTGACTACCCCAACTTGCCACCAAATTTATAAAACCAAGACATTTCAAATGCATGGTAGTAATTGTACCTAATCTGCAATTTGCTCACGACTGGCCCAAGGATGCACAAAATGTTCTGGACACAAAGGGCCAGTTTTGTGTTGACCATGTCCAAACTGAAACGTGCAAGTTCCAGGCATCAGTGTTTTGAGGGTAGGACAGGAGAAAATGCAAGGCAACCAATAGCAGATAAAGGCATCTAGGGAAAGAAAGTGCTGGGAAGATCCAGCACACAGGCCATGTGAGTAACCTTGCCCTGTAACACTACTCCAGAATTTATTTTGGCCAAAACCCAGAATATCCAGGTTCAGTCCTACTAAATTACAATCCATCCAGAACAGTTTGGCTGAACTTCTGAGCTACACTATGTCTGTCTCAGATCTAAAACAAAATACTGTATATTTTCTACTTTAGGCACATACCTACTATTTGCCTTTCTTTAAATAACACTCATTTTTATTTTATGCCATGTAACAAAGTTAATGTTGATCACCTTGAAATTTATGGGAAAGCAGAACATAAAGCGACCTGCCCCAACTTCAACCTGCTTAGACTTCCTATGCTGGACAACTCCCTGTACCCCCAGTGGGGTAGCCAAGGACCCCAACCATCTCTTTTGCAGAGCAGCTCAACCTGCTAAATGCCACCTGCAGCATCAGATCTAAAAGAACCAGAGAAGAAATTCTTCTGCTCTTTGATTTGCAAGAGGTTTGGGTGTAGGCAATAGGAGTCCTGATGGGCGCATCCCGCAGGTGGACTAAGAGTAGGAAAAATTGTTATTTGCCCAACAAATGCAACATTACACATTTGCCATACTGTACTTGCATATACTTTCTTTTAAAGACAATATATTTTGTATGTCCGCCATTCAGAGTAAGAATCTCACAAGTCACCAAATCTCATTCGAGTACTATTTTCCTATCAACTCCACATCTACATAGACAGGTGCAACAGGCATCTACTCCAAAAAGCTTACAATGTATAACAGACATCAAGAAGGGAAAGGGGGAGAATGGGAGACAAAGGCACAGGTACAAAGGAAGAGACAGGCTGCCTAGAGGCATTTCCACGCAAGGGAAGAAACAGAAGAACAGGAAAATGAGAAGCAAGGCCAAGGAGAGCTCTGAAAGCAAGGCCAAGCTTGCTCAGAGTCAGAAGTGGGGCGTATGCCGTGAAAGGGCTGAAGGAGGGGGACCTCAACTGCAGAATAACTTCTGGATGAATATGAGGAGGTAGCAATAGAGATGAGCAGGGAATGGACAAGAAGACCTCTTTTATTTTAATGTTATAAAGAGGTCCTAATCTGACAACCACCCAAAGGAGGAAGGGTAGGAAGCAAAATAGAACATAAAAACAGCATTTGATTGAGAGGCAGATAGCATTATTAATGGTTAAGAAATGCAAACAAAAAGACTGGACCCTTGCAAGGAAATATGGTAAGTCCAGCCTCAGAGATACGGAGCCTAAAGTAATACTGAGGTTCAAAAACAGAACTACAGGTAGTCCCCGTATGCCTAGTTTGTGGACAACCCATAGTTAAGAACAGAGCCTACTGTAGCAAAATTTGAGTTCAATATACAGTATTATTTATTCAGTATTATACAATCCGACTTACATGCATATTCGACTTTAAGTACAGACCTTGGGAATGGAACTTGCTCTTAAACTGAGGACTACCCATACTAGAAAAATAATTAGAGGCTGGATGGATGAAACAGAGCTAGATAAAATAAGAGTATGTTTAGATGATAGATAATACTGATAGGCACAGGAAATGATGAAAATGTTAACTGCCAAATTACGAAGAATGGCCAATAGATCATCAGCTGCAAAGCCCTGCTGAGGTGGGGGAGGGAATCCCAGTAGAAGAATTGAAGGTGGAGGAACAGTGCTCTCCCGCAGAGATTGTGAAAGAGAAAACAAGCCAGAAGGAATAAGAGTTGTGACATTTGGGGATTTAAGTAGGAAAGTGCAATCAAATGGATTTAGGTTGGCAGAAAGGAAGACTGAATAAAGACTTTGGATCAGGCAGTTAGCTCAAGGGCAGTTTCAGTGAAGGTGATCAAAAATAGAGTCAGAAATGAGACTGCAATGAGTTTAGCAGATGAGAATTAATTGTTCTTTGTGCTTCTGGAGGAGAAGTGGGATAAATAAATAAATCCACATTAGGAGATACAGCCATTTCTCAGGAGTATGGGAACTTTAATTCCAGAGTATTTGGAGACACAG